AACATCCCGATAGCAATGAATATCTTAAGTGCTTTGACAAAAAATCCATAAAAAAATGTCATCTGTGGAAGCCGTAGTACTGTAAAAAGCACGACCAATCATTTTAGCCGCCCGGCTAAAATAACTGGATGGCCTACCTGCCTGTCAGCCTTCCATCTGTGCACAAACTTATCTCGTGCCCTCATTGGCCATGTGCGCGTTCGTGTGTGTTGGAGGAGGGGCTCTGTAAGGAAGTGGCAGATTTTTTCCGGTTGTGTATTTCAAATTCTAGCGCACTCGAGCTGGTTTCTCCAAAATTACCTACCCCACCTTTAACATTACTTTTTTCCATTTCTTTTTTTTTTACAATTATAATTTATTATCTTTTATGAATATATCTGGTTGTATATATTGCTCATTTTCCATAAAAGAAAAAAATGTATTTCAGTTTGTGTTTTATTTCAGTTTGATGCATACAAATACTGTACTATATGATGATTGTTGAAAATGCACTTTTACCATAAAAGGCCAGCTCGACCAGTTGGTAGAGGCTCATAAAAACCAAACTGTGTGGTCAGTCAAAAAAATGTGTTTGTGGTTATTTGTGTCCCATTTCATTAAAAAATGCAAGCAAATAATTTTTCCATAGCTTTTTTCTTGGTCTGGTAGTTAAAGGGTTAATAATCTTTATAAAAACACATGTCATGCTTAGGTAATACTTGAACTCGTGCCGCCATTATTTACATGGGGATGGTTAACCATGTGACCTACATAAACAGGATAACGTGAAGATGATGTTAAAAGCTAAAGAGGATCATGACTCCTCTAAAGCTCAGAGTGAGCTGACCCCTGAAAGCACACCTACAACCTCTTACCCACTGCCCTCTGAGCTGAACCACAATCCTTGTTTCTTCATGAGCTTGGTTCAGATTAAATCAACATTCACACTGGCGGACAGTCACTATTTACTCAAGTACTGTATAACCACATAAAACTTCACTAATCATTGATTTGTTATGTAATATAATATTGGTGAACAGTTTTAACATTATATTTAATTGTCTACTTAAAGTCTACACTTATGTGCAATATTTAAGAATAAAATATGATGATCTAGTCAAATCAGAATCACATTACTTTGGCCTAAATATCATAATATCTATATGCTTTTTAAAGTTTTTTTGTACCATAATAACAGTACAATACAGTAAACGCTTAACTTGGTTCAAAGCTCCAGAAAAAGATACTACGAGGAACTTGAGTTACTTAATGCTGATACTATTTTTATCTGAACACTTCTTCCACCGCTGGTTAATATATAATCCAGGATTGTTATTGATGTAGTAATATTTCAATAAGGAAAACTGATCAATTTCCTTGATCAGATTGATAGAGACGACAAACATTTACACTTGAAATGTCTCTATTAAAAATGAATCATATAATATATTAATAATGCCTATTAATTATAATTTAATAATTAGTGATTTGTGAAGTAGATTCAAGTAAGTTGGTCTTCAAGTTGGCCAGGTGTTTTTATTCCAATCATGAATTTTTTAATAATGATGCACTTCATAGTGCCAGTCAATCGTTTTGTATTTCTTGTCTTGGCTACAGTGTTTGTGTCACGTCTGCCTGTCGCACCTAAACCTCAGTTGTCCTGGAGACGATCAGACCGGTCCATCCAGTTTCTCTGTGCTCCTAGGGATTCATCATGCCGACTGATGCCCGCTGAAATGTCAAGAATGTGCTGGCAAAGGCCTTTCACGGTTCACACCTGCTTCACAGTGCTGAACACGCGGTAAAGCTCGGCTCTACCAGGAAATGCAGGCAGAAGCAGTTCTGCGTATCATCAGCTCTTTTCTAAAGTTCAATTAATGACTTCAGTTATTTATTGCTATTATTATTTTAATTTCATTGAATCTAATATAGCCACTTTTCACAGTTGATATGTTATCATGTGTATTGAGAACTGGCAGTGTCTTGGTAGCAATCAGTGCTAACACCTGGACCATTACAGCATTTCTACAGATCCACTTCCATTTTCCTCCCCTTTGTTCCCCTGTACGTTCTAGCCTCAAATGAAACAGGCCCTGACTTGTGCATTAGGAAAATACAAGACAAGTAGAGAAACAGCTGTAATTTGTAAACAGACACTAAAATAAAAGGAAATGGAGATTGAAAGATCTTACATATGTTGCATTCCATTGTGATGAGAACTATGATGTTAATGGAAATGAACTGAAGATAACATCAGAACCAGATGTATTGTGCGTACAGTAAGAACATTGAGTTTCAACATCACAGATCTGTGAAGCCAGATCTCATTTTTGTCAACAGGTTTTCTTCAGTTGAGTTCACAGGTCTTGCTTTATCTACTGAATGCTTCTGTGATACATTTGTCAATTAGTAACTGATAATATATTTTATTACATTGTTTTTATCTAAATTAATATCTTACTATCAAACTACTTTAGCTCTGCATGTGTATTACCTTTGTATATAATGCAACACTGTATTATCTGTCCAGGGAAAACAAATACACTGTTTGTGGCTCACTCACTTCTGTCTATTAAAAAAACGAACAAAATAAAACATCGGAAGAAGCCAACAAAGGTAAATACGACCGTTTACGCAGATACATACTAGTAAGTATGATTTGCTATATATTTTTTGTAAACTGAATTCATATGTATATAATCATTACTAATGTAATGTTTCTGAAGACCATAAAATCTAATTCTTCCAGGTTTGATGACGCCTCAGTCCAGTCCAACAACAGCAGCCCCCGCTGTGGATCTGACGTCAGGTGGAGGGGCTTTAAGAGGGTCTAAAGCAACACAGTGACTCCAGTAAAGCTAGGGCAGTCTTAAACAGGTTTAAATATCCTAATCTGGGAATTGAAAAGAAAAATAGTTTAAAGGTCAAAGATGGGATCAGGTAAGAGTAAAACAGGGGAAAAGATGTTGTCTGGGGATGCAAAATGATTGAAAGAGAAGGATGAAAGGAATATAAAAAGGTTAGAAAAGTGTCAAAGGAACTATAATTTCACGGGAAGACTAGGGGTAGAAGAATGTGAGAATTTGGTTAGGGATATTGTCAAATATCTGGAACAAACTACCAGAAACCTTAACTCTATTCAATCCAGGCTCAAGACTTTCTTTTTGCCGCTACTTTTAATTAAACTATTCACATCTTACACTGGCTTCCTGTGTGTCAAAGAATAGATTTCAAAATATTGTTGCTGGTTTATAAAGCTTTGAATGGTTTAGGCCCAAAATACATGTCTGACCTACTGCTAAATTATGAACCATCCAGAACTCTCAGGTCTTCAGGGACTGGTCAGCTTTCTGTCCCCAGAGTCAGAACTAAACATGGTAAAGCAGCGTTCAGTTATTATGCTCCAAATATCTGGAACAAACTCCCAGAAACCTGCAGGTCCGCTGCAACTCTTACTACTTTTAAATCCAGGCTGAAGACTTTTCTTTTGCCGCTGCTTTTAATTGAACTATTCACTATCTTAAACTGCACTGTAACTTTTAACTTTTATCCATGTATTTTTTCTTTTAATGTTTATTTTATTATCTTTTATTTTTAATGACTGATTTTAAATGCCATTTTCTTAATGTCTTTCATTTTTGTAAAGCACTTTGAATTGCCTTGTGTTGAAAGGTGCTATATAAATAAACTTGCCTTGCCTTGCCTTGCACTGTAACTTGTATTCATGTACCTGTGTTATTCATGTTTTATTATCTTTGCTTTTTAATGTTTCTAATGTGCTTTATGCTCTTAATGTCTTTCATTTTTGTAAAGCACTTTGAATTGCCTTGTGTTGAAAAGTGCTATATAAATAAACTTGCCGTGCCTAAAGCTAGAGTGAGCTGATACATTTTTAAACTGATATTTGCATCAAAGAATTGCAATAATCACTAGTGCATTAGTGAGGTTTCAAAAAATATAGTTAATGCTGAATTGTAAGTTTGGCTTCATGTTTATATATCCATATTTACCTCTGAGTTTACTTTCTCTTTTACCCTATGTGTCGATGACCGCTCAGGTGAGGCTGAGTTCATGTCAATGTCTGCGGTAACAGACAATGAGACTCGAGGCCCCTGGGCACAGACATGCAAACGGCCCCTCCACCTTCCCTAAATGAGCAAGACACACACACTTCCTGGTTGTTTAGCTTATTATTTTTATACTTTTACATCTGTAGTCATTTTGAGACTTTTGGTAATTCTTTTTTTAATCTATTTGTGTTGTTTTGTGTCTCTATGTAGCGTCTTTGTGTAGTCTCTGCTTAAATAGTTATTTTAGTCTTTTTGTGTCTTAATATCTCTTTCCTTTCATGTTTCTTTGAGGTCTTTTTTAGTCTTCTGGTTTAGGTAAAGTCCTGGAAGTCGGCCTTATACTTCAAGCCCTCTGAGTTTCATTAAATGCCATTCAAAGAAAGCAACACATACAACACTTAAATCAAATTAGGTTCACATATTCAGTATTCTAGTCAACAAAAAGCATGAACACAGTTATAAAGAATAGGCAGGCACAAAAAGAAAGAGCAACAAGGGGGATACTTGTTAAATGAATGCTTAAAAGGCTTAATGATGGCCACTCACAACCAAAGTAAGTGCTAAAGAGACCATTCTTTCACAAATACATTTAAGGTAGAACATTTTTGATGACACTAATTCATACATTAACTGTAATAGTTGATATTTTATTCATTAAGTCAGTCAGTTATCTTTGATATTAAGGTTTTGGCAGCTACTTAGTAGGCTACACAAGCATTTAATGCTGCCACTATAGATCTCTTCTGTTGTTAAGTCTTTGCTGGCAAGCAAAGTGGATTACAACTCTGAGCCTTTCATACGCACTCAGAGATGAAGAGATGAAGGGCTAACTGTGGACCCTGCTGCTGCTCTTACACTTCATGTTGACCCTGCCTGGATGCTGAATGAATGCAGTTGTAGGTATTGGTTATGTTTTTACAGGATTTTTAAATGTATTTTTATAAAAGAGACATGGGAAACAGCCCTGGGACGACTGTGGAGGAACTACAAGCTTGTGAGAGTCATCAGTGGTACAGGAAATTCATGACTGAGTGCCCATCTGGAGTTCTCACCTATTACGAGTTTAAACAATTCTTCGGCCTGAGGAATCTCTCGGAAGCGTCAAATGCCTACGTTTGGACCATGTTCTCAACGTTTGATATGAACGGTGTAAGTTCATTTATATTCCTCTGGCAGGTTAATATATAAATTGTAATGTTATCAGCAAAGATGAGTGTCCCCATTAGTTGCTTCTCATCTTTACTGAATATCAGTGGTTGTTAAAATGTTTTAAAACGGTTTATTTCACATTGCATGTCATTTTTTTAAGTAGATTGCTTATGATAATGCTGCTAATATAATTAATGCAAATCATACTCTCACTATGTAAATAATATTGATAATCTGCTATTATGAAGAATTAAGATTAAAATGATCTTCATAATCCTCAGCAAAGAACCAATGAAACAAAAACAAAGAATATGTACAATCCTTTACATGCACTTTATTTTGACCATCTATTGTTACTCTATGTCCTGCTTTAATGCAGAGACACTGGTTTGTTGTTATTTTCATTTTCATTTAGTTTTAAAACCGTGCAGTTTTCATTTATTGCCTGCCTGTCTGTCCTTAGTGTGTTTCTGCTAACATAAATAATTGAGAGGAAATTAGTCTTTTACAGAAGGGGCTTATCCCATCAATGCTGCTTACTGACCTGCAACTTTAACCGAGAAAGGTCAAACCTCTTCTTCATGCCGTTGTTGATTAGTGTATCAGCGTATTACAGTAAAGACATTTGAAAAATAGGTGGGAAACAGGAGTTTATTCCACTATTTGCATTGTTGTCTTTAAAATGTCAGGAGTATACCATGAGTACTAATGACAATCTTCACGATGTGCTTTTCTTTCGTAGGATGGCTACATTGATTTCATGGAGTATGTTGCCGCTCTGAGTCTGGTGCTAAAGGGAGGCGTGCAGCAGAAGCTCCGTTGGTACTTCAAACTGTATGATGTAGATAGGAGTGGCTACATCGACCAAGTGGAGCTACTTCAGATAATTAAGGTGCGAAAGAGCCTTTATTTTAAAGCATGATGCAGGGCTTAGTGAAAGACTTAGGGAAATCCCAAACACTGTCCTGAAACAACCTGCCTAGACCACTGGGGTCCAAATGAGAAACAAGGTCGAGAAATCCCCTCCTCAGGCTTATAGGAGCGTGGGATCTACTGTGAGTTACACAAGGTTCAGAGGCACATGGATGACACTTAGCTGACATCTACTGGTTGAAAAAAACATTAAATGTGTCAGTTCAGTTCAGGGCATGTTCATGATCATAACATGAAAATACTATGATTCCTGTATGAAGCACTTGCAAATGTGTGGCCTATTTTAATCTAATGTACTTGCAGGATTATTGCTGTTATGAGTTTGTATCTCTTAGGTTGATTGCATGTACTGTGTGTTGCTTTGGATAAAAGCATTCGCTAATTGAAATGCAATGTTCAGTAATTATTTCCTTTCTTTGTGTTGTGTTCAGTCCATCCGTGCAATCAATGGCATTACCAGTGAGATTTCAGCAGAGAAGTTTGCCAACATGGTGTTTGAAAAGATTGACGTTGATGGAAATGGTAAGACCGGAGGGAGAAATCTTCAGACATTCGATAATACCTGAATATTGGGATACAGCTGGATAACAAATACTTAGCAAAGGATTTACTATTTATGAATCTATGTGACAACAAGCATTAGATGATTGTGCTTAGTGTTTGTATGTGTTTGTTCTACAGGTGAACTGTCCTATGAGGAGTTCATGGAGGGGATTCAGAATGACGAAATGCTGCTGACGACACTAACAGAGAGTTTGGACCTCACACATATTGTCAGCAAAATTCAAGAAGAGATGAGATCCAACACCTGATACCTCTATCTTTATTGACACTGAAATAAACATTTTTGTATAACCGTTCCACAGCTGAAGAGGTGGATAATCCATAAATCATCATCAGGATGAAAGGATGTGGACCAATCTCTGGGTCACTGTCAAAGAACAGCATGGTTTAACTCCTCAAACAAAGACAAATATTAATGTTGTATTCAATGACACACTTGAGGTATTCTACCTCATAGTTTATAATGCTTTCAACATGGACCTTAAACATATTTATAAAATATTGTGACAATACTTTATAGTCAAAAAAATTGATATGCTGCAATAAAATGTAATTTTGTCTTCTGAAATAGTCAGACAAATCATAAAGACAGATTAATACCTTAACTCTTTGTTGGACTCTAGCTGAAGTGTAAAACTACATGATTTCTGTCCATTCTCCATAAAGTGCCATTATTGAATGTATGTTGTAGCTATTGCATGAATTTTTACAATACATAAGCTACGTGTTCAGTTGAATGTGTTTAGGTGAAACCTACAGGTTCCTTAATTGTAGTGTTTCACATAATGTGCAGTCGAGCCACCTAGATCTCCCTACATCTGAGACAGCAGTAGATGATGTATATTTGAGATTAAACAAGTACCTTATACTACCTTTCTCAAAATGGTGTGATTTATTTCGGAATCCTTTTTTATTTGATATTTCACTGTGTGTTATTCCTAGGGACAACCAGGATGTGTGCACATCCAGTTATTTCAAGCAAACTGTAGCAAAAAGCTAACAAAACGTTTTGTTTGTTCTTCAGTTCTCGAGTTAAAGCATTAGACAGCCTGTAGTCTGAATTAAGCTAAATGACAGTTCCACATTAATGAGTTTTTCATGATGTAAATTGTTGGCTTGATCGTTTATGTTTAAAAAGAAAAATACCTTAGTTAGATATATGCACATTTATAAAGTGAAATGAGAGAACGTGCAAAAAGGACCTTTGTGTGACCAAATAAAAGTTGCGAGGCAAACATTATATCCAGCATCAATGCCACAGACATCTCAGTATTTAATTAGTAATGTTTTAGTTTGAACTTACCTTTTTTTTGTCTAATGGTTTAATTATGTGTGTCTGTCTGTCTGTGTGTCTGTGTGTCTGTGTGTTTTACATTCTGATTTATTATCACTTACTGACACAGATGGACTGTCTAAATTAAAACTTAAAGCCAAGTCATGTTTTTGATCTCTCAATGCAGACACAGTAGCCTACGGAAAAAGGAGTTGGCCACAAAAATGCAAAAAAAAAGGAGCAACATCTTATAAAATGAATCTAATGATGTTAAATTCATAATCTGAACACTTCCTTACACTCCCCTTTATGTAAAAATAGATTCTGGTATAACCTCTGGGGATTCCTTCATTCTTTGTTAGGGGACTGGCTACTTGGAACCATAACAAACCAACACACCCATCAACAAAAGACTCGGACAGACCATTCATCCCAGAATGCAAATAATTAGCACTCACACATGCGCGACAGGCTCATTATGGATATTAATCCGAAACCAAGAAACCCAAAGTCAAATATGCGCAGCTGGATGTCGGACACACGCTCTCAAAGCCATGAGTAGTTTCAGGGTGTGGTTTATTATTGCCGGGCTGTTTTGTCTACTATTAGTGATAGGATCATCACCAACCGTCCACAATGCACAGTGAATTGGCTGTTATTTTCAATGGAAACTGCCTAATCTGTCTGCCAACTGAGTCATAAATATCGTCTGCTAGTGCGCAATGCTGGCCAATTTATACGCAATATAATGTATGACCAATAAATCCTGAACAGTATGTTCCTTCCTTCACACACTCGTTAAAACAAATAAAATAAAATGTCAGGAAAATATAAAACACCAGTGGAGAAAATAACAAACAAGAGGGTAAATAAATCCCTAAATGAGCAATTTAAAATATTTTTTATAAAACAAATGTTCAGCATTTTAAACCAAAAAATCAATTACAAGAGCATGTCCGTGTGTCAGATTGAGCCTTATTATTAGGCTATATGTATTACATTAGGATCATTTATAATTATTCTTGATTAGGTAGCTTATCTACATGTCAGACTTATAACTCATCCATGTGTTATGAGGTGAAGTTGGCTCACAGTGAAATGCTCAGATGGAAAATTAAAGTGTGTGTCCACGTGCTTCAGGAACAGCTTTCCCCTCAGCTGCTCCGAAAAGGTGTGTCACCGGCGTGACGTCACGGCTGTACCTGAGTTTCGGTGAGGAGAGGGGAAGGGCCGAGCCGGAGTGAACAACACCAGAGTTCCCCGGGAACAATTTGTTGTTATTCTCTCACACCTTCGTCCAAATGATTATCTATTAACATTTCCTTCGGGGGGAATCTGCGACACTTCGGGTTTTTGCAGAGGAAACGCGGTTTAATCTCCAGCTGCTGGTGAGCAGGCCAAGGACAGACCTCTCCAACTTCCTGGTTCACCACAGGTATGTGTCGTTCTTTAGTATCGTGTTTGGTCGCTTTTTAACCTGAATTATTTGTAATTGAATCTCACGTTTATAGATGCTCTGAACTATTAAACACGGGGTATAATCTCCGAGCAGAGCTAGTTATATGACAAACAAGTGTTTATATAATCAATAGTATCCCGACTTTCAAAGTGTGCCTGTTTTAAAAATGTTTGGATAACCCGGACGCGCATGATTTCTGGGAACACTGCTGCACCATTGTTAGTCACTGAGAGTGTTTAAACTCTCTGGCTATTGGGGAGATGATTCACAGTAATAATCCACAGTGGACTGATCGGTGTGTGTTGTCTTGTCTTTCAGGATGTCGGTCACCCCTCGACGTGTCCGCCTGAAGCCCTGGCTGGTGTCTCAGGTGTCCAGCGGGCGATACCCGGGGCTGGTGTGGCTTGAGCGCGAGGCCATGCGCTTCAAGATCCCATGGAAACACGCGACACGACATACACCGCAGCACGAGGACGAGGACACCATATTTAAGGTTAACCTAAACTTAACAGATGTCATGGTTGAGCTAAAAGAGCAATGAATGTAGGCCATGAAACGAAGTGTTTGTTTACCCCGAGGGAGAGCTTGTACATAATGGCACTGCTGCACGGGCAGGGAACTGGGTCCTCTCTTTTTAAATCGAATTTTTTTTGTAAGGTTATTAAATACGCTTTTACAAGTTCAAAAAACACAAAACTATTTGCATGTACCTGGCGTAACATCTGGTTATGCGAGTTGCATCACAAGGCCTCCCAGTTCCACAAAATGACAGTTATTTAATCATGGACCTGTTTTGCGTATGAAAGCGTTGCTTCTTATTTGTCCCTTTTCACCTGATAAACAATTTGAGAAAGTAAACATTTGCTATATCGGTGTAACTTGAGACATACTAAACCCTTTTTGTACTGAGCACATTAAATGGGTGATATTGTCATGAGAAAGGACATATTTAGGGATGACAAATCTCTTGTATTTTCTACATATATTGCTATAAGGGCGGTGGTGGCAAAGTCCATAGGGACTTGACTTGGCTTGGCAACTGGAAGGTCACCAGTTCAAGTCCCGGAAAGACCAAGTGCTACCGAGGTGTCCCTGAGCAAGGCACCTTTCCCTACACTGCTCCCCGGGCGCCGTACATAATGGCAGCCCACTGCTCCTAACACTAGGATGGGTCAAATGCAGAGAAACCGTTTCGTTACATAGTACCTGTACTACGTAATGACAATAAGTTGAATCTTCAATCTTCATCAATTATATATGTAAATGCTTTTCATGGATACCCCACAAAGTGCAACTACCTTTGAGAAAGACAGTACAAATATGTGGATTCAGTGCAGGAATGTAAAACTGGACTGATATTGATACCTCCGTTGTGTTTAAATGTTCCTTCAGGCGTGGGCTGTGGAGACGGGGAAGTTCCAAGAGGGCGTTGATGAACCTGATCCTGCCAAGTGGAAAGCCCAGCTTCGATGTGCTCTGAACAAAAGCAGAGAGTTCCACCTAGTCTACGATGGCACCAAAGAGGTCCCCATGAATCCTCTGAAGATTTATGATGTGTGCGACATTCCACAGCCCCTCAGTAACCAAGGTAAACAAGAGCTGCTTAAATATGAGTGATTAATTTGTCCTCCTTAATTGGTATTTTTTTTTTTTATTTCAATTGATTTTGTAATTTTTACCCCACAGGTTCCTCAGATGCTGGTTCTTGGACTCCAGGTGATGATGATGGTGGTGACGAAGATATTCCAGATACACCAGAGTCTCTCCCTCCGTACCCATCCAATGGTGAATATCTTCTCCTCATACTTAATGCATTTTCTCCCCTTAATTTCCTAGCAGTATATCAAAAACCCTCTTCTCTATTGTCTCCTCATTTAGGTACCAGTCCCTCTCCTCTCATTATGTGGTCTCCTATGAGCTCTGGATCCCCCATGCAACCTTCCAGTTGTCCCCCTTCAAATGAGGTCTGGCCCAAAGAGGAGCCTGTTAAAATCTGGCCTAAAGAGGAGCCCATAGATGTGGAGATGCACCCCACACCGAGTGAAATGCCCCATGCTCCTCTGCCTGACGTCCCAATGCATCCCCCTTCTCTACCTGAAGTATTCTTCGCCTCTCCAGAGACGTGGATCAGTTCCCTCCCGAGTAAGCATGCACTTCTTCTATTGAGGAAATCACTGCACATCATAAAAGAGACAGTCAACCAAAAGGAATTAATTTTGTTTCTCTTTCCAAAACAGATTTTGTATTATAGGCTACTGTAGCTCAACCTGGTCCATTCATTTCCTAACATAGGGCATTGTAGTCTTTTTTTTAAACAATACCAAAAAACAATCACTGCCAATGATGGCACATGTCAGCCAGTGAACTATGTGGCGTATTGTTATTGTTATATTTGTGTTTTTAGAGAACATTGAAAGTCTATGGCATAGATGAATAAGCAGCCAATACTTGTTAGAAGGATCAATATAAGTAAAATGATGTAAAAGTTCGAATTAAAGCAGAAATGTCATTCATGGGTTTAAAATAAGTCTGCATTTGTCTCTGTACCAGTGACAGACCTGGAGGTGCAGTTCCTGTACAGAGGGAAGGAGATGTGTCCCACAGGGAACATCAGTAACCCTCAGGGCTGCAGGCTGTTCTACGGAGACCTCGGCCCCATGGTCAACCAGGAGGAGCTGTTCGGGCCGGTGAACCTGGAACAGCTACGCTTTCCGACCACGGAGCACATTACCAACGAGAAGCAGAGGATTTTCACTAACCGCCTGCTGGATGTGATGGACAGAGGCCTCATCCTGGAGGTCAGCGGTCACGACATCTATGCAGTGCGTCTCTGCCAGTGCAAGGTGTACTGGTCCGGTCCCTGTGCTCCAAACCCTGCTGCGCCAAATCTCATAGAGCGCCAGAGGAAGATCAAACTCTTTTGCCTGGAGTCTTTTCTCAGTGGTAAGAAAAACTCACCTTTACCATGCAGATTTGATTGAAGTCATGGTCTTTGCTCATTTAAAAAATGTTATATTCTTTGATCCGCAAATCTAATCCTAATAAATGTGTTTCCATGGTGTTCAGGAGTAATCGCCCACCAGCGTGGCCAGACACCAATCCCTCCTCTATTTGAAATCAACCTATGTTTTGGAGAGGAGTGGCCTGATGGCAGGCCCAAAGAGAGGAAACTTATCATGGTTCAGGTGAGAAATGTTGTTCAAATATTTGTGCTCATTTTCAGGACAATACAGGCCAGTGATCAGCAGTCTACACCTCATACTTGTGCATGAACAAACTGCATCTCTGTTTAACAGCAGTTGAAATAATAGTTTACTCAAATATAATATAAATCTGCAAAAAAGTATTTCTGTGCTTAAATATTTAGCATGAAAATGGTTTTATAAAAGACTCAGAAAAATATATCTTCATTTAAAGTAGTTTTTTTACTTGATGGAGACATACTTCAATAATATTTTTTGAGTTCATACTTTTATTGGGTTACTAATAAAAGATGTTTACATGCTTTTCTTTCCCTTGTTTTTTCTACTGTCCATCTCAATCTACCTGTGCTAACCCTCGATCTTGAACGCGCTGTTTTATCGCCTCTATCTTTAAGTCTCCCACCGAAAAAATCACAGACTTGTTTTGAGTTGTCTCTTTGATTGTTTGAGGGTTGGTAGGCACTCCTGTAACATAAACAGAAATGCAAAAGCACTGAAAAAGTGATTTTTGATATGATATGACCACTATTTTAAAGAAAATAGAAACTGTTTAATTTAACCTTAGCTGCAACCCGTCACATATTTGTTCACATTACTCGTATTTCCCGTTTTAATCCTGTTACATGCGAACCTCAGGCAATCAATACTTTATTTTCAGAGTGCCTGATTGTGTGACTCATATTGGTTCTCTCTCCCTGCTCTGTCCTGCAGATTATTCCAGTGGTGGCACGTATGATAAGCGAGATGTTTTCAGGGGACAGCACGCGGTCCTTCGACAGCGGCAGCGTTCGCCTGCAGATCTCAATCCCAGATATCAAAGACAACATAGTGACCCACCTAAAGCAGCTGTACTGCCTGCTGCAGACCCACCAGGGCCAGGACGGGTGGACATTGCCCCCCGGCCCGGGCCTGAACATTGTCCAGGCTATGCAGGCACAGTGAAGTAGCCCACACTGAACCAACATATATTATATATCACTGTATGTTCCACAGTGCTACTGAGAGTTGCCTACTGGGAAATAAGTACTTGTGTGTATGTGTAATCATATTTAGAAGTTTAAACACTATACTGTTGGATTATAGTGCTTTCCTCTTGTAAAGTGCTTTCACTATACTTTTCTGTAAATAGAAGTAGTGCCTTTAAGCCTGCATCACTCTACATCATGTGTGCAGGAACTACAGACAGCTGCGGTGACTGCAGGGGCCAAAGTCCTGCTTTCTGCCAGGGGCCATTTAAGTTAGTTAATGAGTTACAGTTCGCCCCATGCACTATTTATACAAAACTGGCCAGTGATTACCACACTTTCCTGCAGTCGAGACACCGTGCAGAATACCTTTTATGTTTTGATCTCATATACATTTATATAAAATATAGGCAAATATGAATTAAAGTATGGATGTTATTTTTCTTCTATTCATGTACTACTTTAAACTGGCTATTTGGCCCCATTTATCCTGCCAGCATATTGGGTGTTTCAACTCTTTTAACAAATGTTGGACAATAAGGTCTTCCCATTTGACATAATTGGCAGTTTTCTAGTCACCTCATCTGCAGTTTTGTCTTCAGTTCTTTTACTTTTTTCCATCTGTATTGTAGTCTATTTTTGTAAACATATCTTTGATTTTTAAGCTATGTATTGTTTCCAGACAGCCATTTAACTAAACAATATTCAGCTACATGGGTCTGTTTTTAATATGGATGCCACTGCAATTTGGGGTGCTGAATTATGTTTATTATTATGTTTTATGTCTAGTTGAATTTATCCTGTGATTGTATGTTTATTTTATCAATAAAAATGCAGAAATGATAATGGTGTTTATGAATTACTTTTAATGGTGACACACACACGGGTAACTTGTTTATTTTAAAAATGGTAAAATGTACTTTCGTTCACAAGTGTTTGTTTACTTTTCTGACTTTACTGATGAGGCTGCAGCTTGACAGATTTGAGTGACCTGCAGTTCTGCACCGGATGTGCTCATGCAGCATTGCTGACCTCTAGTGGTTTTGTTTAACAATAGCAAAGGGGGAGTTTTAGGTTAATAGGTTAATTTTCATTCGATTTTCTGCCATCTGATGATAGTAGTTGCCAAATATAATCATCAGAGCGACCAATATATGACGGCTAATTGTGGCAGAAAACTAACAAAAAGTATTGAGTAATTTAGAAATGTATATCATTCAGAATTTCCACCATATTGAAAATATCTTAGATTTGTGTCATTCAAGCATTGGGGTCACATGGTTAGAAAAAGTGGTGGGGGGCACTTTTCATATAAATAAATAAAAAACTCTACTGCATTCAGCCCCCCCCTGTGCAAACAATAGCCTACATACATGCTTACAATTCTTTAAAAAAAAAAAGTATCCTAATGCAAAGTGGTGGGGACAACATTGGCCATCTCCAAAAGTGGTGGGGGCCATGTCCCCAGCGTCCCGGCTACATGACGACGTCAATGCTATCAAGTAGTATTTGAAACAATGAAAACCCTCTTAAGAGCAAGGGCTCGGGTGTGAGCTGACCGTCCTCTGACTGCTGACAGTCGGTTAGAGAGAGGGAAAAGCCGCCGCTGGATCTTGAGTGTTGTCTGTTGGACATCCCATCGAACAAGCTGCTGCTTTGACAACAACAGTCGGTTTCTAGGCAACACAACAACAACCTGGCGAGCATGGCGGAGAGCAAGCAGAGTGCAGGTTCGTACGAGTTAGAAAATTCACTTAGCCTACCAACTTTCTACAGTCACACAACAATAAGGGAATTGTCTTAATAACGATAGTTAGGTGAATAGTTGTTTTCGCTTGAAAGATTTGACCTTGGAGTTATTTCTGATCAGTAAAGGTGGGGTAGGTAAGTTTGAGAAACCGGCTCGAGATACACTTTTTGTTATATTCCATGGAATGCTCTTAACATCCCGATAGCAATGAATATCTTAAGTGCTTTGACAAAAAATCCATTAAAAACTTTCATCTGTGGAAGCCGTAGTACTGTAAAAAGCACGACCAATCACCTGCCTGTCAGCCTTCCATCTGTGCACAAACTTATCTCGTGCCCTCATTGGTCATGTGCGCATTCGTGTGTGTTGGAGGAGGGGCTCTGTAAGGAAGTCTGAAGGAAGGGGGCCCCATGGAAGGGGCAGATTTATTTCGGCTGCGTACTTTTCAAATTCTAGCGCACTCGAGCTGGTTTCTCCATTCTTACCTACAACTAAGCAATCGTTAATACACATTTAAAATCAATGTAGCTGCAGGATGATGGTGTAAGTATGTTTTGCACAGTGTTTTTATATTGCAATATTGTTTAAAAAAAACAACAACTAGCCTATGTATTATTTATACATTTCAGACCTCAACTGCATTTGTTATCCTCATTTCATTTCCTTACATTTTTTATGTTTTGTACAATTTATGATCGTTTTATATTATGTTTATACAAAATGTATTTACTGCAACTTTTATGAAATGAAACCTGGAACACATCTTTATAAAAATGTATTGACTTTTCAAAATGTGGTTGAGGGAGTAGTAGAGTATATTTTGACTCCCAAAGTGTTCAAATCGAACTCTTTATTTGGAGTATATATCTTACACTTTTGACAGTGTTCAGAGAACACCAAACTCTTGGACCTATATACACCCAGAGACTGGTGTTAAATGTACTCTTATAGAGTACAATGTACACTGTGGTTTTTGCTGTGTAGGATAACACTCACCTCTCTTTATTCTTTAGAAGCCACAGTGTCGGATGTCCAGAAGAAGATCAGAGCAGCGTTTGAAGCGTTTGATTATGAGTCTAACAACACGGTGGATGTCAGGTGAGCTCCGGCAGTACAGAGAGAGGTGGGGGGGGATCCCATTGTTCTCCTGGGCTGATACACCAGACTTTTGTAATGTAAAAACACACTTCTCTGAACCCTTGAGGTCATAACTTTAAACACAGTGATTAAAACATGTAATCTTATTATACTTCTAATCAAATAAACACTTACTAATGAGTTGAGGCGTATACTCAGTTAGTTAAATAGTGTGGTCTCTAACATGATGTTTGTTTTCCAGAGAGATTGGCACCATCATATATTCCCTGGGTTGCTTTCCCTCTCAAGCAGACCTACACGACTTAATAGCTGAGGTCAGAACATAGTTTTTTCAATATGTTGTCTATAATAGTTATGGTGACATGTATAGATTGCTTGAAATTGCAACTACTTACTAAAATATGATATCAGTTCTGTTAGAAATGTCTCCGCTTGTTGTTAAAAGTTCCAAACTCACTAGCTGTGTCCTGTTCAACCAGGTTGAAGAGGACCAAACAGGATACATCCACTTGGACAGTTTCCTCCCAGTCATGAGTAAAGTGCTGCTGGAGCACAAGTAAGACAGTTATTTGATCTCCAATACACCCTCTTGACTGATGCCAGTACTGATGTTTGGTATCTAATGAGGTAGCTACTGAAGGATTTCACTGAATTAATGTGTAGTAAAAAGGTCTTCCACTGTAACCTGTTGTTGATCATTAAACATTCAGGTGTATGTTTTGCCACCCAAGAAGATAACACATCAGATCTCTTTCAATAATGTATGCCACCTTCTTTAAAGTTTTGCTTTCTCTATGCGGGTAAATGTACGTGTGTGTGTGTGTGTGTGTGTGTGTGTGTGTGTGTGTGTGTGTGTGTGTGTGTGTGTGTGTGTGTGTGTGTGTGTGTGTGTGTGTGTGTGTGTGTGTGTGTGTGTGTGTGTGTGTGTGTGTGTGTGTGTGTGTGTGTGTGTGTGTGTGTGTGTGTGTGTGTGTGTGTGTGTGTGTGTGTGTGTGTGTGTGTGTTAGGTTCCCTCCCATCCCTGAGGACCTCCTGCTCCAGGCCTTTGAGGTGAGATCAGCTGTTTACTCATATTCTCCAGTGTTGTAGTTCCCGCGTCTGAACAGTATATAAATAAAGTTGGAGTAAGACCCTTCGAGTCTGCAGATATCATACTGTCAACAGAGTGACACTAACATCAGAGTAACTGATATTTGTTAAAGCATAAAATCAATAACTCTATATTTCCAGGTTCTGGACAAAGAGAAGAGAGGATACCTAGAGCCTGAGGAGCTGACTAAGTACATGACACAGGAAGGTAAAAGCAGAAGCCTTCAGGTTTTACTTTGTGACTTGTTGGAGCAGATCATCTCATAGATATCTTTTGTGTGTCTTACATTCCCCCTACTATTTTTTCAAAACATCTTATAATGTACAAACAGTTTTGAAACCATGGCTGTGTTGTTTTTGTGTAAACCAGGTGAGCTCTTCACCCAGGAGGAGATGGATGAGATGCTGACAGCACTGGCTGACCATGAGAAGAACGTTGTCTACTACAAAGACCTAATCAACCAGCTGACCATTGACCCGGACATGTAGACAATGTCCCAGTGTGTCTACAAAAATGCTAAAAATATTAGAAGCACACGTCTGTGTGTTTGTTGACTTTATTAATGCAAGTTAATATTATGTTGTGCTAGTAGTTCTGATATGGTATAATATAATAAATGTAAATATCTAAATCCTAACTTTGTGTTTCCAGAATCGTTGAATTCAGATAAATTACAATTTGGTATAAATTGCGCATTTTGGGGGAAAAATAAATCAATGCATGTTTTTGTAAGCTTGAAGTTTATATTCATGATTACTTTTTGAAGTCTTGTTGTTTCTTAGTATTAACCTAACCTACATATTAATACCTTAAAGTGTTGTTTTGTTTGTTTAACACATTTAAGCATTAAACTATAGCCCAAGTGAAGTTAGTAAAAATGTATATTTTTTTATTTTAATTGAAATATATGCGCACCCTTTTTTCACTTAAAAACAGTATAAGTTTCTGATAAATATATTTCATACTTCAGCTTGGAAGCTGTTTTGGTTAAGTAAAAGTAAGGAAATAGTGTTAGCTCAACATGATGTAAATAAAGCTTTAAAAGTAAAGGTACTCATCAGGCATTAACTTGAAACTAGAATGTGATCTTGTGACCGTGTTACTCGTCACGGTAGATCTATTTTTAACAATAGTTCATACTGTTTGGTAAATCAGATTAATACATGATGCAACTTTGAGCATGTTCTCATAGAGTGGGAATAGAAAGTAAAAGTCTAACTTCAGTCCTTGATGCATATAATTCCACTACTGCTGAACAGGCTGGATTTCTGTACATTTTCCAAGTTTTTCATCACCTTACATTTAGGTATTAAAATGAATAGGTGACCCATGTTAGATCTCTATTTTATATCATTTTCACACATATTACTTTAGGTTTGGGCTACATATGGGCATGTTGTTTACCTTGTGTCCATTACATCATTGAGGAATGTATTCTGGTTAATGTTTGGCAGAGTGACATAAAAAACAAGGAAGGGCCTGTGGTTGTTTTATTGTGGAGCCAGTCTGCCAAGTAGTTTACACGGTGTGACGGAGATAAGAAGTGCTGCAACTAGACGTTTCAAATGTTCCCAAGAGCTCTTTCTTTAGTACCAGCCCCATATGTACATTAGATTAATACAAAACTGGACGTTGTAGATTCAATAGAGACTTTGTCATACGTTGCTATCAAGAAATTGCAACAGAATGAAAGTGAAAGATATGACTGCCCTTACTAGAAGTTTGTAATACATTTAGCAATCAACTGAACATGTTATCTCTTCTTTCTCTGTAGATCTGTTTTATTCACTATAACATGTACCTGCCGTGTTGTAGGCAGTTATCTATGACAGGATTCACACATTTATAGGCCCATACTAATCGTCGTTTTAGATTAGGAAGATAAATAGATATGAGCTGACTGAGCCTTGTTGCTCAATACTTGTAATCTCACAAAAATGGAAGATGGAAAATGAGAAAAATGCTGATAAGGCATTCCAGTCTATTTATAGACCTGGAGACCTTTAAGCTTTTCCAGGGTGATTTCCTCCGTATCTGGTAACCTTTGCTCGGATGGGATGCCACACTAAAGATCTCACACCCTTAACTGAGTCGACTCAGTGTCCCACAGATCGCTGTGCTACTGATGTGGACTTTGTCATTCTCCTTTATAAGGAAGACGTTGAGTGAGGACTGAGCAGGATTAAAATATGAGTTCTTTTCACACTAAAGAGTAAATCATTTAACAACATTCATCTAGCAGACAGCAAAGGTAAGAGCTTTTGAACATGAATCTCCACAATACACTCGATATGTCTTCGCTGTTTGTTTAAACAATCTGTAGTAAAGGCTTGCTGTGTGTTTGCATTTCATTTAACACAATTCAAACAACATCTACAGAATAATCTTCCACATACTCCTCAAAGTAATCAGAAATCTGACAACAGAACAACACTTTTCAGATTACTCCGAAATTAGCCTAACGATTCGTACTGATTTTGTGTTTGAAGTATGTTTATTTTATCATATTCAAACAGAGCATTTACCTTTGGACTGTTTTCATCGACATTTTTGTCGCCAATCTCTTTGTGTTGCTAGGTGACTATGACCAGTTTATGATTTCAAGACCCATTCATTAATTTTACATTCACCGATAACAACGAGGTGTTGTTTGAGCAAAGGCTCACTTAGCTGAGTACATTTGTTAACTCAATGTTCTCAAAGCTACAACCAGCTTTAATGAACACTAATGGAATACAAACTCCCTTAATCCAATATTGATTTCAGATGCAAGTTTCTGACGCAGCTCGTAGCACTCATAAAATGTACGGTGTGTGTTGTTAATGTCATCTATGATAAGGCAGGTGTGTGTGAGAGTGGACAAGATGTTCAGGAGCAACAGTCCCTTTGGCAACGACACCAGCAGCTACGCTGGATCCATCCAGTCCAAGTATGGATTTCACAATCTTTATGTTTTTGATTGATTGTTTTATTTCATTTATTCATCAGCAGATGATTGATATTGTATTTTGTTTTATTTTCTGTGGCAGTGGTTTCTCCAACACGGATGATGTGTCATCGCAGGCGTCAAATGTGTCGAAGCTCAGTGCCATGTCAGTTTACTGTAAGTTAAAACTCGACATGAAGAGTGGTTACACCTGTTCAGTTAAACTTCATAAATAATAAGAGCTCTGGTTTATGATCAACAGTGCAAAGGAAGGAGTATGCAGAGTCAGTAAACAAGATGATGGACAAATTACGGTACAGAGTGGAGGTAACCTTCGGAATAATCTCCAAACAAATATGATCCTCTCTGAATCATGCCTTGTTTGATGTTGTGTTTGAATCCCTCCATGCTGCAGCACTTGTTCACCTGTGACCTGGATGGGAAGGAGCTGAGAGGCGTGGGGGACTGTGTGGAGCGGCTGAAGCTTCTGGACGGTATGGGCCGAGTTTGGGGTCAGAACATGAGGCTGGAGGTGCGAGGAGCCAACCTGCTGCTCACAGACAGAGAAACCAAGGTCAGCAGCGTCTGATGCCCACAGAAACACACATCAGCTGGGAGTAGTCTCCTCCAGGATGAGGAGGACCCCACCCAGGGTGTAAAGGTTCACTGGGTGATTAGACCAGCGTAGCAAACAGATGTGAATCATATGTTACAGCCTTCACAGTCACCAGATCTTAGTTCAACTGAACACTATTCAAGTCAAGTTTTTAGTGAACAAAGGAGGATAATCCTGTTTGTTCAAAGAATACTAATGTACCTGCCTCAGTAGTGTACATGCTGTCTGTAAGTTCAGTTTTCTTCAAACTTAACATCTGTTTGAACTTCTACGCAGATGACATACGCCTCTATAATTAAGACTGTCTTTCTGCAAATGTCCCAAATTGGCACGAAGGAGAATTAAAGCTGTTGTAGAGCTTTGTCGCAGCCCAGAATCTCACTAATATACTGTATTATCTGGAGTTCTTTCTTAATTGAGAGTGCTTTGATACAAGAAACTTATTTTTAAATATTTGAAGATGATGGACAAAAGCAGCTGGGTTTTGCCTTAATTTATGTATGTGGTCCATGACGTGGTTCATGTGAATAACAACCTGTTTTCTCAGGAGGAGCTGGAGTCCATGTCCTTCAGTGACATCCTGGAGCTGAAGGCGGTGCTGGACGCCGGCGTGTTTAACTCCCTGCTCACAGTGTCTGTCCGGCCCGAGGGGAAACACACCACCACCGTCTTCATGTTTCAGTGTGAGGATGTCAGGGTGAGCACAAAACCCTAAAAATGGCTGTTATTTCAACTACTATGAACTGAAACAAAATAAGTGGGTACATTTGTTCCTGTTGCTTACAGGCTGACTATGTCCAAAGTGATCTCTCAGCAGCATTGTCACGCAGGAAACATGATTTAGGCATCAGGTAAGAGCTTGAAGTCAGAGAAGACATACCTGAAACTACTGTATGTGTGTATATTGATTGATGACCTCTAACATTGTTTAAAGCAGCAATGCAGGACCAATAGCAAGACAGGGAATGGAAAACCTCAGTAACGGCGAAGATTTCTCTGAACCAAAAGAGCAGAAGCCCCCCCAATGGACGGCTCCTGACTATGGTGAGTCTGTGAGATACACAAGGGTTTGATATTGCTTATGAGGTCAAAATCAATACCAACCGTCTGTCTCTTTGTGCTTTTAGAGGAGGATGACGTACCTGAGCCTGAACCAGTTGTACATCAGGAGGAAGAGGAGGAGGAGGAAGAGGAGGACCCACCTCCCAGAGAGAGGGCACCGTCACCGCAGCCCTCCACCACCGAAGAAGAACCTCTGTCGAGCCAACGTCCATACACAGACCTGGACAGGAATGTAGTAAGTGTATATTTGATAATCATTATTAATGCCTCATTTTGTTTTCATCATTCTACATGTTAATTATATTCAAGAGCAGAAGAATGTGAAAATGACTTTCTTTATCCATCTTCTTTACAGGACATCTTGAATCATATTTTAGGTGACATAGAAATCTTCATGGGAAAAGTATCTGCAGTAGTAGCGAAAAATGCAAAGAAAAAGAAGAAAAAGAAAAAAGGAAAAGGTAAATGAATGAGGTGAAGAAAGGCAGACATGTAGACTGTTTCTAAATGACAGCACTCAGTCAATACTGGAATATTCTGTCAAACTAGTTTTTATACAACTATCATCAGTTATGAATACACTGCGACATGTGTTATGAAACTTTTGTGTCATACTGTATTATGACTTTTATATGAATTCTGTGTTGCTATGACTTTTATATAACTTTTCTTATGACATAATCTACAGCATGACTTTTTATGACTTTTAATGGCGTGCCACACTACTGTATGACAATTTTGGATGACTTCTGAAAACTTGTGAGTCATCGTGTTTTTATTTGTTTTCTTCAGCCCTAGACGGTATGCCACCTGCAGCAGAGTTTGAAGAGTGTTTCCATAAGATCAAATGTGGTTTCAACCTGGTGGTATGTGTCCTTAATCACATTCATATTATATAATCATGTTCAGTATTGCTACTGTTCACTTTGTAGTGTACAGTTTGTGTAACAGTGAAATATTTCTCTTGACAGGGGGAGCTCAATGGAAGGATTAACAATCCCAGCGCTCCTGAATTTGTTCACTCCTTATTTTCCATATTAACATTCGTAAGTGACTTCATCTCGTAATTCCAATACTCTCTTATAATTAAGTTGAATTAACCATCATGATTGCACTAATCAAACGATTGGAGCTGTAGTCCAATGTGCGCCCTCTGTGGCACCTGTCTAATACAAACCTAATACCTTCTTAATTATTTGTTTCCTCACCAGCTGGTATCTCACTGCCCTGAAGATCTGCTGAAGACCATCGTGGCGCCGCTGCTGACGCCTCAGTGTATCCGTCTGCTGAGTGAGGAGGCGTCCACAGAGGAGGACCAGCTGTGGCAGTCTCTGGGAGACGCCTGGAACATCCCCAGGTGAGACAACGGACAGTGTGGGACCTGATGAACTGTAGCTTTCTCTTTTCATTTGCATGAGACCAAAACATTGGCCCCATCTCAGAAAAGTAACGTAACACATTTCAAAGATCAGTTTTGAAGGATTTTTACTTTAAGCTAGTGTCTACACTTATGGACACAAAGTAGTTTAAAAGGGCTACAACAGTACAATTCAGATTTTACTACAAAAATATATATTTCCTTTGGATACTATTAGTTTTCCTGCCTTATAAAACTTAAGTACATTTACCTAATTAGGCAGAATGTATCTTCTAATTAGCTTTATCTTTGATGTATTGATATTTTTATTTAAGTATAGTATTTGAGTATTTCCTCCACCACTTCAGTTTGGTTTACTAAAATATGTCAGACTGATAAGTGTCAAGATAACAATCGGTCATGATTTTGACAATATGATCAGCACCCAATGGCCAGAAGACGACGAGGACATCCCAACATACACTCTGGAGTTCTCTGACGGCTGGCAGGCCCCTGAGGTGACTGCAGCACCTGAACCCAGTGAACCAATGAGAAGAGAGGAGCGTCAACAACCTGCACCCTACCAGGTAGGCTACTCCTCCAGATCAGACATTCAGTTCAACATCGGCACAGAGAGACAGGTGGTTTGGGAGAAGATATTCAAACATAACACAACCATGTTTTATTTTTCCTGTGCAGGCTCCAGCCAAGAGTATAACACCAGCTCATCGCCCCAAAAAATCATCACGGTACAACAAACCCATAAAGAATAAATAAAAATCCAGGTGATTGTTCGAAGTTTAACATTTTAGATGCCCTTTGTGTATTTCAGCTTTGTTCAGTCACCACCGCGGGACATGTATGTTACGTATGACTTCATCTCAAGAAACCAAAGAGAGCTCACCGTGAGAAAAGGAGAAGTAGTTCAGGTGAGTGAACCGACTCTTGCTGTGATGTTTGAGTGGAATTGGTTACAAAAGGGTTAAAACAAAAGATAACAGAGAATGAACACAACTCATTAAGACACTGGCTCTGATTTCCATCTACAGCTGCTGGACATGTCGAAGCAGTGGTGGAAAGTGAGGAACAGCGCCGGGGAGGAGGGCTATGTTCCCAATAATGTCCTGGAGGTTTATGGTGAACAACAGATGGAGGTGAGCACCACGTACACACCGCAGGTCTTCTGTGACTTAGTATTAATGTGAGACACCTCAATCAGAAATATTGGTATTCATGCACAACTTTGAACATTTGTATTCCATAACCTGCTTCCATCTTTCTCAGAGTGTCCTTGAATTACTCTCTCTATATACTCATCTTTATATTTCAGTAAAAACATTCCTTTTTTCAGCAGGCGCCTGGGGGTCCTCCTGTTCTCACGAAGAAATCCAAGCCTGCAGAAGTGAAAGCTTGGCTGGAAGACAAAGGCTTTGGTAAAATGTAAGTACACAGTTATTAAACTCCTTTCATAGGCATTAAAGCACGTTTAATTTAACTTGATATAACCTACTCCAACCTACAGTATATAAGGCGTTTTCTCTTCAGTTAATTGAAGATGTTGGGACTCATTTTGTATCATCAGGGTTATTTTTTTCTCTTGGAATGGGATTGAACAGAAAGCCTGTAATACTGGATGTGGTTTACAAAGAAGTGAGCATATAAGAAGCAGGGGTGTCGAATGAAAAATACTTTTAAGATGCATTATGGGTAATGGGACCAGTGTTTTTTGAGCTCAACTCTTAATATGGATAAAAAGTCAGGACATAATGGCCCGTGCTCCCTTCAGTTTAACCATTTTCACCATCAAACAAATTGTGAGTAACCAAACTTCACCAACTGCCATTTAATATTAGAGCAGGCATTTGACCTTTTTCCACCAAATGAACTTCTGAGATTCAGAAGTGATTGACAGACTAATATACGTTGTATTGCAGCACTGTGCGCTGTCTGGGCGGGCTGAGCGGCTCCATGCTGCTGGGCATGAGCCGAGAGGAACTGAAGACCGTTTGTCCCGAGGAAGGAGGACGAGTCTTCTTCCAGTTACAAGCAGTCAAATCCGCCATGAGTGTAAGTTACCATCTTTATCTGTGTCCACTGAGTAATGCTGGTGTGAATACAAAAGCACGTCTAACAGTTTTTTGTTTGAACACCCAAGGTTGCCACGTAAGAGACCAACAAGAGAAAACCAAAGAAGAAGGAGAACAAGAACTCCCCATGGTCCATGTCACTAAATACTGTATACTTTTAAATAAGAAGTGAGAGATTGTTAAGCATATTATTATCTGAATCCTTGTATACAATTATATGCATCTCATTTTGAATTCATATATAGCATTTGTTTGGTTGAGAAATCTGCTGTAAATCCAAAGTGTAATCTAATCAGTGGAGATGATATAAAGTGCATTTAGACAATGTTCCCAGCAATACTATGTCAAATGTCTTACTATATTATGATAGCAAAGTCCGATGACGCAACACGATGTAAACAGCCTTATGTATGTGTTCATTCAGTAACGTGTAAATAAAAGTTTTCTGGCACAACACAACGTTTTAGTGAATAAACATGCTTTATTTCGTTCAGACATTACACATGAACCTTATCAAAGGCATCTGTTAAACACTGGCAATTCATTTCAGGCAATAATTTGGCTACAGATCCATGGCCATAAAATTCAAATGTCGAAAAAGTGACGAGATTTTGTGAAAACAAAGATTTCAATGAGAAAAATATAAGCTGCACAGAAATATATGTTGAGAGTGAGCATTACAAATGTAATAAATGAGTGATAAAGATAGTAAAACACACATAAATCAGTGTGAATTATAAATATATGAATAATGTAGCGCATATATTTGAATAACTGGTACTGGTTTTTGTGATGGCATCCAAATAATTGCTGTGTTACTACTTAGAGATAAAAGCTTGAAATAGTCCCATCTGTTCTGTTTTTATGTGCATCACTTCTGATGCGCCAATATTTACTGGAATTTAAAAGGTTAAAATGACCAATTTACTTGTTCAAACTGCTCAAATGTGAAGATGTGTTGCTTCTTCACATTGTCTATGAAAGTAAAGCAAATATGTTTGGGAACTGGACTGTAGTTTGGACGAAAACAAACAATTTGAACACCTCAACACCCAGGGTCCTAAAGGAATCATAATGGGCTTTATTCACAACCTTCTGATGATAATAGACCAAACAAACAATTGCAATAAACCGGAAAAAGATCAGTTGATTGTTCAACGTGTAAATAATCCAATAATTGTTGTGTGCTGTTGCTGAGGACACAGAAACACAGAGAACGTTTGGAGATAAGTATTTGTGAGGTAGGCTGCACGGTGTTGTGCAGACAGGTAGCTCTGTGCAGACTGTTAGAACAAAGTGAACCACCGGGGTCATAAGCACACAACACAACAGTTAGTGAATGGATGGAGAAGGTTCAGTACAGATTCTAGTCCCTGGAAGAACGCACCACAGCCGGTATGTCAAAGAATAAAACACTAATTACCTTAAAAATTGTTGTAAGAGGTACAGTAAGTGTGTGAAGTTATTGGGCAAGTCAATGTAGATCAATGGAAGAAATTAGTCGTTCCTAATCAAAAACACAGAAAATGTCTATTGATGTGACTTAAAAGAAGGGGTTTGTTTTTATGTGTGTGTGTGTGTGTGTGTGTGTGTGTGTGTGTGTGTGTGTGTGTGTGTGTGTGTGTGTGTGTGTGTGTGTGTGTGTGTGTGTGTGTGTGTGTGTGTGTGTGTGTAGGTGTGTAGGTGTGTAGGTGTGTAGGTGTGTGTGTGTGTGTGTGTGTGTGTGTGTGTGTGTGTGTGTGTGTGTGTGTGTGTGTGTGTGTGTGTGGAGGTCAGTAACTGCTGTAACGAAATCTTTTGGCTTTACAGTAAGATGTATGTAACATGTACATACTGTATTTACTGTAATATGAAATGGTCTGATCAACTAAATAAAAGAACAGCCTTTAATGAGCGACTATCTTCATGTCATAATGGTAACTCACAATGGTAAACAGCAACACTACTAAGTGTTAAACCTTGACATCAATATATTGTGAATATAAAATCTCTTCTCTTTATATCCCCTTTAAAAAAATACGCTTTATACATGAAACCCAACGAACAAGCACACAACTATGGTGCCTCCCTTGAACACTTGGAAGCTACTTCCACTTTATTCCTGCTGAACAAATTCAGCTCTCATCTTTCCTCCTAATCATCTTAACAATGCTCACAGTTTGATGGAAGTTGGCCCGTGTCCAGTGGCAGGTAGAGAAATAATATGATGAGTGTAAAACACAATTTGTTATCCCAGCTTTGATCAGATTTGGGGCGAGTTTAAAAAGAAAGTGCTACAAGAACCATGCAAACATCTGGACCATGTCCCAGCATGGTTGGCTTGTATCTACATGGTGAACAGTGCTTCATTTAAATCTCTTTAATGCAAACAGATTTCAAATGCTGGTGTAGCCCTGAATGAATTAAAACGTCACATTACAGCTTGCTGTATATAACTCATTCTCGCCTGCCATCCATTACTCATGCAGGCATGCAAATAAAGCACTTAGAAGCAGAGTAATAGAAACAAAATGTCCTCGTCGAACAAAGGCCAAGCTTCTTCACACCGAGCATGTAGCTAGGTGGTTTCAGTTCCATCGGTGGGGAAGTTACAACAGCTTGGAGGCCTACTGTAGACGACTGAGAAAAAAAATGCAAAAAAAAGGGGGATTTTGAGGCTTAAGCTAAAAAGGAAAAGGCACTGCGAAGTCTTGTCCTGCTGCATATGTACAGTGCACTGCATGCAGCGGTGATACAAAAACGAAACTTTGTGATTTGTCTACAAGGGAAGGAATGAGTGATAGATGTCACAGTGAGGTCACGAAGAGCTTTCTCCTCAGACGATGCTAAATTCATTCATAAATATTTGTGCTATAGTTCAAATCCCTTTTCTTCTCATGAACACCATCAAAACGGGATGATTGTGAACATTTACTGGATTATATTTGCAGCAAAAGACAAGTTTTAGCTTCCTGGAATGTTTGCAGTGGACGACCAGGAAGTCATTTTCTGAGCTCATTACATTTTGGACAAAAGAATTCTTTAAAAATAAATGATCTGACACCACAACAACGTACCAGAAGCTGTGCTCTCTCTTCTCTGATTCAGTACATCTCCAAATCTTAGTACGCCCTGAAGAAGCTTAAACCATCTTCTGGGTAAATCCAACCTCCAGCTGTTATCATTCGATAAAAACTGAATGGGTAATCATTTGAATAAGTTTGTATAATGAAGAGAGAAGATGCACCAGGTTGTCAGCTGCGTTCAGAGTGGGTTTATGTGAAGAAAGTCCCAATGTGCTGGTTGTCAGTGTTTCAGTAGAACACAGATACTACATGCTGAGTAATGCGTCTGGTGTATTAATACATACTGCTGACTGGACAGGATGTCAAACTCATGGACAGAGAGATAAAGACAGCATCGCCCTGAAATCTCTCCAGTGTTTTTTTCATTCAAAAGAAACACGTGTGTTGGTCTTCTCTGCTAACCTTTATTATGACTGAGCTAGGAACTTTAACAATAACAGGTTAGATATCCATTACTTCAGCCTGATAATGACTCTAACACAAAAACTGAGGAACATAGAATCTGAACGGCTCTAGCAGCACTTTGTCCTTGGCTTTTTGGTATCTGTGTGTACGGCATACTTCAATATGGATGGTTTGTGGTGTTTATACTGTATGTGGGATGCAACAGAATTACCCTCCCACCACGTCTCTTCCGTGTCATGCTGGGTGGACCACCGGGCTGGGGGTTCACAGGTTATTGTGACTTTAGTGATCTCCCGGGATAGGGCCCATGGACAGAGCGTCCTCCTCGCTGATCGGTTCCAGCTCCTCAGTGTGGACAGCCTGAGTGATGAGCTGCAGCTCCTCAGCAAGGGTCTCGCTGCGGTACGCCACGCGGATGTCAGGGACGTTAGTACGGCGGATGTCGTTGCTCACAGGACCCTCGTCAAAGTAGGTGGGGCCCAACCAGTAGCTTTTGGCCTGAAATCAAGAAGAAATACATGAGTGGGTGCCTTGAGACCGTCAGGCAATAAAGGGACATTTTGAGCCAAGCTAAAAGCTGTTAATATTTCAGTTTATTAAGTTTGAATATGTTCTCAAGTGAGAAAGTAAAAATATAGATTTCCAATATGTGTCTGTTCAGAAATTTGCTGCGGGAAAATTAAAAGAAAACCTTGCTTAATTAATAACATAATTGATTTCATACAATGTGACCAACAGAATCAGAATCAAGTTTATTGCCAGGTAGGTTTACACATACAAAGAATTTGCTTTGGTATCTGGTTGTGCGAACAAAAACAATCAAAGTAGGTAGAAATATATATGGATAATACAAAATGAGTATTTTTAACAACTGAACATTATAAACTTTATAAAAGGATCATATTAGGACAGGGCTGTTGTGTTGAATTGAATCAGTTTGTGCAGGTGAGTGTATGTCCCCTGTTGACAAACACAAAATGAGAAGAGGTGTAAACTTCTGTACCTTGTGTGAAAACCCACTCATGAGGACACTGTTTCTGGCCAGCTCACACATGTCGCAGGAGCTTAGTTTCCACACCTGAGCAGCGATGCTGTACTCCTCCATCAGAGGCTCCTGGAGACAAGCACAGAGAGAGAGATGTCATATCAACACTTCTGATCATCTGCATGCTATTTTTACCTAAAAGCCAAACCTGACTCAGACCGACCTTGGTGAAGTGGAACTGAAGAGGATCGTCGGTGGACAGAGAGATCATGAGGCCTCTGGACAGATACTCCAGCAGCGGGTTGCGATGGTAACTGAGGAACAGGCTGTTGTTACTCAGTGGAGACATGGCGATGCCAATTTGAGCCAGGTAGTAAAGATACTGCAGCACCGGAGCCTAATGGATATCCAATAGAGAGAGAGCATTTCAAATGTAATCTCAAACCCTATATTTCACTTATTAAGCGAAGGCACAGTGTGACAGAATAGTTTGAATAGTTACTAAATAATCAAATCAGGAGCTCTCTGACAGCCTCAGGTCTTGAGGAAGCTGTTCTATGTCAGGGATAATAATAATAATAATAATAATAATAATAATAATAATAATAATAATAATAATAATAATAATAATAATAATAATAATAACAATAATAATAATAATAATAATAATAATAATAATAATAATAATACATGTTATTTATATAGCGCTTTCCCTGGTGCTCAAAGCGATTTACAAGCAGAAAAAAAATAACAACAAAAGTAAAAAGTGCTAAGCTAGGTGGAATACGGGCGAGGGTTTAGTGGATTAGGAGTTGAAGGAAAGAGTGAAAAGGAGTTTTGAGGGCTTTTTTTTAATAATGTGCTTTACTTCACTTAATTTAGGATCACCATGGTAATTACCACAAACATCTCATTTTTGACAATCCATAATATCAACAAAACCAAGAGAAATACAATTCAGAGAAAGCTAGTAAGTCAACATGGTAGAACCAAGCATAACCACACTGGTCTCTATAGTTGGACCCGTCCTGACCTTTCTGAGCAGCAGACCGTGGGAGATGTTCTCTGATAACATGAAGCCTGACACCAGGTGGTGGACAGGCCCCGCCTCCCCACAGTGAGGTCGCAGGACGAATGTGTGGAAGCCTCTGCGCCTGTGTCAATCAAATATATTGACAAATTGAGTGGATGCAAGGCCTGGTCAATGATTTCTGGGTGTTATAAATGTATGGCAGTTCTATACCTTCGCAGGTGGTTGAGCGCAGTCATGTTAGCATAGGTGTAGTAGAGGTAGTAGGAGTAGGGCGGGTTGGCCTCTTCTGTCCAGTCAGCTGGCAGCGGACTGTCCATGTTGAAGATGTGGTGCTCCGGTTTAGACTCATCGTCCACACTGTCGAAGCCCACCACCTGAGGACAAACATGCCACAAAAAGACAAAGAGAATTGGTTAGTCTCTTTTAGTGTGAACTATCTGGATCGATTTCTTGTAAAGGGATACTCACGTGCTCCAGAAAGAGATGCAGCTCAGGATGACTGCCCGGGTTGATGCTGACTTCAAACAGAGGCATGAAGATATTCTCCAACATCTCCTCGAAATTTGCCAGCTGCTTCTTTGTCTTGTACACGTCACTGAAGAGGAGAACAGTGACATGTGTTGTTAGCATAGAGATGATTGTTTGTGAATTTTCTTTGTAAAGGCTAGGAGATATAATGTGTGCTGACACTAGTTAAGAAGGTTGTCCTTAACTTGTCTTATGATATGCATCTACTCTCTAATAAAGGGACGTGACCTCAGAAATGTTCCGACTAAAATTCCTTTGTCCTGGCTGTTACCATTAAATACCTCAACCTGAAAGACTGACCACTTTATTTAGATTTGTTGCAGCCAGTTTGCTACTGTACTTCAGACCACAGCATTTTATATATATATTTAATATTATTTAACTGGTGCTGCTTTAAATTTAACTTATTTAGTGTACTGTGTTTTTATATAAATGTATTAAAAATACATTTATATAAAAACACAGTACACTAAATAAGTTAAATGTGTTCTGTCTGGATGTGATGCATTTTGCTAGCGAAAAGTAGACATTATAAGCATTTTCTGTTTTAATTTAATTGGTTTTGGTAAAGTGAGTTAGAGCGAGTACTTACAAAAGACGAGGCACCTG